TATTAAATTGTATTTATGCTTTTGTTAAAAAATTTTTCCCTGAAGATTAGCAGTAATACTTTTTAAAGTACTTATCAGAATTAAATTTATAGTTAGGGAATATGTTTCTAAAGTATTTTTTTATAAACTTCAAATTTTTTTGAACTTTATTCCATCTTTAGAAAGTTGACAACAAATATAATTCTTTAACAGAGATTACAATAAACATAATACTACTGTTGACAATTTCTTATAAAAGATTTCCAATTTTATTCCAATAAATTTCTAGATACGTTTAATATTAAACAAACATTGAATTTCTTAATCATCAGGCTGGTTTTATACTCTATGTTTATACTAAATAAAAAGTCATTAATGATATATTCTTTTAAACAATTTACACACACATAATGTTACATAATTTGCTTTAGTTATATGATGTTATATATAACTAAAGTTCAAACCTTATAATCCAAATTCAATCAATCAGATTATTTTTAGATTATAATATTAATGATTAAACTAATTCAGTTTAAAGGTGGCAGTTATGTTGCCATCTTACATTAAATTTGTTAATCAGATAATTCCTATTGTAATATGAAAATAAATTGATTGATTAGGGTTAAGTTAATATTATGTAATATTAATTACATTATTGATTTTATTATATAATTCATTTCATTTTAATACTAATTAAAAGTGAATAAGAAACTTAAAAATTAACACAGACATTATTAATTCATATTAAATTTAAGATATATATTAAATTTATATAATTCTTATAATAAATTTATTATTCACCTGATGAGAGTTCATAAATAGAGACAAAAAGCATTTAGTAAAGTAATTTAACTACCCCAGTGGTAAGGTGTTTTATATTTAGTTGAAAATAGAAGCTGGGTTAGAATGGATTAGGATATATAGTATTTATTTTAACAGTTCTTAAAACTTTTTAAAGAAATAGTTTAAAAATCCTAAAGAAGTTATAATATAAATTTTACAATAATTCCACTGAATTCAGTTTAAAAACAAATTGTTTACAACAAAGTTATAAAACAGAAGAACATATTTAAGTTTAATGCAAAAAAGAACTTTAAAAGATAAAGTAAACTTCTAGAAATAAACCATTAAGAATAAAATAATGAATCTCTAATCAAAATGATGTTCTCTGTCTTAAAAATTTACCTTGCCACAATAATTGCTTGAAATATAAATGTATTTAATAATCATTTACACCAGTGGTTCTCAACTTTTTTGTTGATGTACCCCATTAGCCCATTAGTTGTTTCTCAAGTACCCCTTATATTTCTGTATGTAAATTTTATAATTACTGTGTTAGATGTATACAGCCCTTATAACTGAGCACCATAAAAAAAACTCTAACTAACTATAACTAAAAGTGAATTACTTAGTTTACGTAAATAATAATAAATTTACTCAGGTACATACATTTATTTATTATTATTTGATAAGTATATTATATAAAATCACAGAATACATGCATAAATTACATTTCCTAAAAATGAATAATTATAATTAACGATAAAGAAAATTTAAATTATTCTACAATAATTTCTAACAAAATTTAATGGGATATTTGTTGCGATAAATCTTGCAATTTTTCAAAATTTGGTTCCTACGCTGTAAAATAGAGATTATAATTGTGTACTTACAATGTAATGGCTGCGAATTTATAACGTGCAGAACGATAAATGAATCTTTCAATTTTTGTAACAAACGTAATGTCTAAATTTGCTAAATATCAAGTAATGTGCGCATGCAATGACATGCATTGTATGGTAGAGGTAATGATCCAGGCCTCGTTATTCCTAATACCAGTAGTCCAGTAAAAACACAAAAAGCCCCAATCTCATTGAGCAATAATTATAGAATAGAATAAAAAAATTTTTTCTATTCTAAAATTAATGCTCGGTTAAACCATAATTTTACTAGACTACAGGTTCACTCAGAACTAATGGCACAAATAGACGGGCAAATCAAGAGGATAAACAAATTGTTTGGACTGTAAAAGGGAAGTCAGTGTTCATACTGGGATATTTTAAAGCAAGTTTTTGTCTTTTCTTGTTTCTTGTGTTAATAATTTACAGCAAATTGATTAACATACGTCATTTTGTAATGAAAGTTAGTTACAAGCATAAATCAAAGGTACAAGCATACCCCTTTGATTTATGCTTGTACCACTAGGGGTACATGTATCCCCGGCTGAGAACCACTGATTTACACTGTCTAATTTTCAAATGATCTTTATATTAATTATCTTCACAATTTTCTTTATTAATAATATTAAAAGAGACAAAAATTTAATTTCTGTTATTGAGTTTCTTAAGATAATTTAATTTTTAATATCAAAATTTCTATTTATTCTTGAATATCAGGCATTACTTGTATAAAAATATTTAACCAAAACTAATACATGAATCAATCATTAAAAAAAAAGCATATCCTGCATATTGCAAAAAAAGTAAAATGCGGAAAACCATAAAAGAAACAAATGCATTAAATCTGATTAATTACTAATTACAAATATTTAAAACTACAACTGAAAATAATTTTATTTAGCTATTTTAATTTTAGTTAAAAATATTTTTAACTATTAATTAATCAAATTTCATGTGTATAATGTTGCTTTTGTGATTTGATATATCTTATGTCTTTTAATAAATTCAAACATTGTAATTTTTACAATATTATTTATTATTATAATATCTTTCAATTTTTTAATTTAATATTTTATGATGTTTACAAAAAATACTTTCACATTTAAAAAAATCATATTAATAAATTAAATTGTAAATTCTATTTTATTTGCAAGATTCACTTTACATACATCTAATTTAGAGTAACTTTGTGTCCAAAGAATTATTTCCACAAAACCACATTTATATTTAAGAAATCTATCAAACTTTTACATAAATATTAATTTGTTTGTATAAATTCAATCATACATACATATACTAAATATAATAAAAACTAAGTTGTTGTGTCATGAGTATTGATTTATTTATTAAAATGATAATAAAACTCAAATTGTACTTATTGTAATAATACAGATCTAATAAAAATGTAAAGTACAGGTAGCCCTCGGTTTACGCCGGCTCAATTTATACCAATTCACAATAACGCCACTATGCAATTTGCCGTTTCGCAATGTAATTCCCCGATTTTCCCTATGCCAGACTGATTTTCATTTCATGTTGACATATTTACCAAGCTGCGACATTGTACATTCATTAAAACAAAGATTTTTATTGAATATATTTATTTTTTCTGTTTAATATTATTGGGTATGTATACATTTGCATTAAATTAATATTAATACATTAAATGTTTAGGTACCCACAAGTCAAGTTATCAAATTTAATAGTCCAATAAATGGCGTCCGAATCCATAGCACCAATGAATGTATCCCGTATCAGTTCGTTTAGGAAAACACCTTACAATGCAGTAGCACTTCCGGCAATCACAAACTATCATTAGTAAGACAAATCTACTTCTCGTTGGCCAGACGATACTTTTTTTATTAGCCACCTTGAATATTTCCACTTAAACTGACCTTATATATGTGCTACGGCAACCAGTGGTCAATCAATCAGCGTCTCTGCTCGTCTGTAGCTCTACGTCGGGATAATGTATCCCTTCAACTATGGAAAGTTTGACGGATGAACTTTGTGAGTTAGACAATGATTGGGAGTGAAGTGCAAATGTAAAAGAAGCATCATCGCATCCATTTGACCATATTCCGAAATTCTCGATGAAAGAAAACAAAAATGTAAACAATTAAAGATGGATACTTTTTTCCGAAAAATGTAAGAGATCCAAAACTAAAATTTTTTAATAAAAACATTTCACTTTATTTTATGATAAAATACATTTTAAAAATTAAAAATTTATATGTATTTTGTATTATATTGTATTAATAAACAAAATTATTTGCTTATTTTTCACTTATGTAGAACCTAACCCTATACCTCACTGTAAATATGGGTTTGTTTTATGCTGATTTGATTTGCACCAGCTTTTGTAGGAACAGAATTGTGGCATAAACCGAGGGCTACCTGTATAAAATAATATTGAAATGAAATTATCATATTTTGGATACTATGATAGAGCTACATTTTTAACACAAATTAGAGAAGTTAGGAAAGTGTAAAAAACAAAATACAATTACTACAGAAGAGACCATAAAGAGAGAGAGAAAATTGATTTGCTAGCAAATGTAACAAAAACTATTTAAACAGCATGAATTGTATTAATTCCAGATTTATTTATGTATGTTGCTGTCATAACAATTCAAGCTTTCTGATGTGTACAATGAACAAAAAGCTAATAATACTGTATGTTCTTTATATTTTCAAATTTTGTTTATAATGTTATTCATTGCATGTCACAAAATTATAAATGTTTTCATAAATCAACAAATTAATTTTTTTTAAATAAAGGAGTGACAAATAAGGCATTACAAACTAAATTTCATATTTTCTACACTATTAGTAAATATAGTGATTTATCAGTTTGAAAGTAAGTTTTATTATATTATTATAAAAAATCTATATTTATATAATTTTTTAATAATTTAACACAGTATATTTTCCTATGTGAAATGGAGAAATGACATCATCATAATGTGCTTTTTTCTTTTTTTAGCAATCACTGTGTAATTTTGTTTCAATTTAATTAAGTAAAACATACAGATAGTAAAATTTCTTGGATCTAGTTGATTATTTGAATTTTTGAAACATACATATTTGATTTGAAAACTTTAATTTTACTACAGTTATGACATTCACTGAGTAAAAATAGTGTTAGGAATTCAAAAAATATCAGAAATAAACAGCCATAACTGATAAGTTACAATAATTTTGGTTAAAGAATTCTTTAACTGTATAACAAGTTTGATGTAAATATTTTAAATTTAAATCTAAGTCATTATTTTCAGTGTTAATTTATTAAATAATTCATATACATAAACTAACTGTAATTGTTTAAAAACTTACTCACAATTTCCAAATGGATGAGCGATTCCTCTTCGTTTCCAGAGTAGGATCATTCCTTGAAGCTCTAATCATTTCAGTCCAGCGAACAGCTTCTTGAAGTTCCATTAAACGTTCTTTATATTGATTACGTTCCATTAGTACTCTTGCCATTTCTACTCTAGTAAAACGTTTTCTTTGAGCCATCGGAACATCTTCCTATATTTAATAAAGATAAATATAAAATGAAAATTGTATTTTTAATAAAATTATATTTAATAAGTTATTTAAATATAACAGCATTAGAAATGTTTATTTCAGTACTCTAAAAAAGCATTTTGGTATGAAATAATATTCATAACTTTAAAAATTAAAATCATGTTTGTAACAAAACTCAAACATTTTCAAATACTAATGAAAATAAAACAAAAATATACAAATGCTGAACATGGTTTAAATATGAAAAAATTCTACAATCTCCTACATTGCTGTAATATGCATGAAAACTAAAAGAAAAATACAGTAAAGCTTTGATTATCTGAATCAATTGGGGACTGGGATTTTTTGGAAAATCAATTTTTCGGATAACCGATTATGTACGAAAAAATACATTAATATAGTATATTAGTATATCCCAATAATAGTATATTAATATATCCCATGTTTAAATTTTTCTCTGTTGCGTGTTGCTTCGTGTTGAATTTTCATCAATGTTAAGCCTAATGAAAATTTTTATAATAATAATCATGGCTATTGTATCTTTAAAAACTATTTCTTTATTTTGCAAAAACAAAATAAATATATTGAAAAATATAAAAACAAAAAAAATTATACTTTAGAAGTTAATCTAGTATCAAAAACGTTCAAATCAGCACGACACAGTCCGACTGGAACGCTTTCAGTTAACTGATGTTTCAGTTGATCGGCATTCGAATAATAGATGCTCTACTGTAATAATATAACAAAATACACATAAAATTATGTTGAGTAAACCTCAATCCAGGATTTCTAAGCACTCAATGTTTAGGTCCATATAGTTGACAAAGTTTCCCTTACAAGTTGATTTATATATTTTTGGGGCCTCAACATATCTAAGGTGGTGCTTGTTTCTTATAGACCTTGGCTTCTTCCCAACAAACTTTCTATGAATAATTGCATAAGAAGAACTCTGCAACAACAAAGACCTAAACATGTTATTCAGTGCTTGGAATTTCTGGATTGAGTTCTACACAACATAATTTGACATGCATTTTGTTATATTATTTTTTATCTTTTTGTTTTTGTGCATGTAACAGCAATGTGGCACATTGCAGACATTTTTATATTTAAACCATGTTCAGCATTTGCATATTTTTGTTCTATTTCTACAAATATTTCATTATTTGAGATCTGAGTATTTGAAAATGTTCGATTTTTGGAATAAAGGCCATTAAATATGAACAAAAAATTAGATTTTTTCAGTTTAATAAAGTTTTTTTGCCATTGCACAGACTGTAGATGATTGAATAAAACAAAAATATACAAATGCTGAACATGGTTTAAATATGAAAAAATTCTACAATCTCCTACATTGCTGTAATATGCATGAAAACTAAAAGAAAAATACAGTAAAGCTTTGATTATCTGAATCAATTGGGGACTGGGATTTTTTGGAAAATCAATTTTTCGGATAACCGATTATGTATGAAAAAATACATTAATATAGTATATTAGTATATCCCAATAATAGTATATTAATATATCCCATGTTTAAATTTTTCTCTGTTGCGTGTTGCTTCGTGTTGCTACTGAAGCAGTTACTTTAAGAATTACCTTTAATATCTGAAAATATTCACTTATTAAAGTATTTCATATGAAATTATATTTTTTCTATTACTTTCCATTTCCAATTACAGTAGAGCATCGATTATCCGACCCATTCATTAAAACAAAGATTTTTATTGAATATATTTATTTTTTCTGTTTAATATTATTGGGTATGTATACATTTGCATTAAATTAATATTAATACATTAAATGTTTAGGTACCCACAAGTCAAGTTATCAAATTTAATAGTCCAATAAATGGCGTCCGAATCCATAGCACCAATGAATGTATCCCGTATCAGTTCGTTTAGGAAAACACCTTACAATGCAGTAGCACTTCCGGCAATCACAAACTATCATTAGTAAGACAAATCTACTTCTCGTTGGCCAGACGATACTTTTTTTATTAGCCACCTTGAATATTTCCACTTAAACTGACCTTATATATGTGCTACGGCAACCAGTGGTCAATCAATCAGCGTCTCTGCTCGTCTGTAGCTCTACGTCGGGATAATGTATCCCTTCAACTATGGAAAGTTTGACGGATGAACTTTGTGAGTTAGACAATGATTGGGAGTGAAGTGCAAATGTAAAAGAAGCATCATCGCATCCATTTGACCATATTCCGAAATTCTCGATGAAAGAAAACAAAAATGTAAACAATTAAAGATGGATACTTTTTTCCGAAAAATGTAAGAGATCCAAAACTAAAATTTTTTAATAAAAACATTTCACTTTATTTTATGATAAAATACATTTTAAAAATTAAAAATTTATATGTATTTTATATTATATTGTATTAATAAACAAAATTATTTGCTTATTTTTCACTTATGTAGAACCTAACCCTATACCTCACTGTAAATATGGGTTTGTTTTATGCTGATTTGATTTGCACCAGCTTTTGTAGGAACAGAATTGTGGCATAAACCGAGGGCTACCTGTATAAAATAATATTGAAATGAAATTATCATATTTTGGATACTATGATAGAGCTACATTTTTAACACAAATTAGAGAAGTTAGGAAAGTGTAAAAAACAAAATACAATTACTACAGAAGAGACCATAAAGAGAGAGAGAAAATTGATTTGCTAGCAAATGTAACAAAAACTATTTAAACAGCATGAATTGTATTAATTCCAGATTTATTTATGTATGTTGCTGTCATAACAATTCAAGCTTTCTGATGTGTACAATGAACAAAAAGCTAATAATACTGTATGTTCTTTATATTTTCAAATTTTGTTTATAATGTTATTCATTGCATGTCACAAAATTATAAATGTTTTCATAAATCAACAAATTAATTTTTTTTAAATAAAGGAGTGACAAATAAGGCATTACAAACTAAATTTCATATTTTCTACACTATTAGTAAATATAGTGATTTATCAGTTTGAAAGTAAGTTTTATTATATTATTATAAAAAATCTATATTTATATAATTTTTTAATAATTTAACACAGTATATTTTCCTATGTGAAATGGAGAAATGACATCATCATAATGTGCTTTTTTCTTTTTTTAGCAATCACTGTGTAATTTTGTTTCAATTTAATTAAGTAAAACATACAGATAGTAAAATTTCTTGGATCTAGTTGATTATTTGAATTTTTGAAACATACATATTTGATTTGAAAACTTTAATTTTACTACAGTTATGACATTCACTGAGTAAAAATAGTGTTAGGAATTCAAAAAATATCAGAAATAAACAGCCATAACTGATAAGTTACAATAATTTTGGTTAAAGAATTCTTTAACTGTATAACAAGTTTGATGTAAATATTTTAAATTTAAATCTAAGTCATTATTTTCAGTGTTAATTTATTAAATAATTCATATACATAAACTAACTGTAATTGTTTAAAAACTTACTCACAATTTCCAAATGGATGAGCGATTCCTCTTCGTTTCCAGAGTAGGATCATTCCTTGAAGCTCTAATCATTTCAGTCCAACGAACAGCTTCTTGAAGTTCCATTAAACGTTCTTTATATTGATTACGTTCCATTAGTACTCTTGCCATTTCTACTCTAGTAAAACGTTTTCTTTGAGCCATCGGAACATCTTCCTATATTTAATAAAGATAAATATAAAATGAAAATTGTATTTTTAATAAAATTATATTTAATAAGTTATTTAAATATAACAGCATTAGAAATGTTTATTTCAGTACTCTAAAAAAGCATTTTGGTATGAAATAATATTCATAACTTTAAAAATTAAAATCATGTTTGTAACAAAACTCAAACATTTTCAAATACTAATGAAAATAAAACAAAAATATACAAATGCTGAACATGGTTTAAATATGAAAAAATTCTACAATCTCCTACATTGCTGTAATATGCATGAAAACTAAAAGAAAAATACAGTAAAGCTTTGATTATCTGAATCAATTGGGGACTGGGATTTTTTGGAAAATCAATTTTTCGGATAACCGATTATGTACGAAAAATATATTAACCTATCCCATGTTGAAATTTGTCATGGCAGACTACTCTNATCATATTTGAATGAAATAACTTTTCTTTAGTGACGTTTGAAATAAAAATAACTATAAGGCATGCTGATACATAGAAAGAATAAATTATTATTATTAAAATTCTTCTTTACTGTGAATTGTTTAAATAGTGACATTATGGAAACTCCTGGGAAGATCCTCTTTGATTTCAATTCTTAATCTCTGCATCGTGCTCAATTAATAATATGTTGAGTAAAAAAGATAATATTTTTCTTTAAATCAATGATCGAATGTTTCATTTTAGTAATAATCTCAAATTAACTGTTAATTTAATTTTTATATTAATCGATCACTTAAAATTCATTTTATGTGATTGATTCTAAGCAATTGATTTCATTTGAAGTGATAAAATTAATATTTATTCTTAATTGGCTATAATATTTGAGTTATTTAGATTTATTTAATTTAATTTGTTAAATTTTATACTTGGCAATTAAAATAAATAATTGTTATTTCTAAGATCTTTGTTATAATAAATTTGGAATGTGCTAATATCCCGCTTTTGTATGACAGAATGACAAATATACAGAAAAGGAAATAAATAAATAAATAATTTTTTTTCATTTGACTGTTTTTTTTATAAAGAAAACAGTTTTCTAAAATTGTGAAACTGTTTTTTTTTTCTTTTTCCTACAAATAGCTTCGAACAAAAAAGAAAATTTCTCAGTTTCTGTTCGTTTAAAATGAAATCCAATAAAATTGACTCGAATCATTTATTTGAATTATGACAATTCGAGACAGATTTTTTCCCTTCATTTCATGGAAATCAGATTGAACAATACAATTTTGAAAGAATTTTTCTCGATTCACAAACTTCAAACTGATCTTTCTCTTGATGCAGTTTAATGCATACGTATAAAATCGGATTTGAAAGAATTTTTCTCGATTCACAAACTTCAAACTGATCTTTCTCTTGATGCAGTTTAATGCATACGTATAAAATCGAAATTTAAATATTTAATCATCATCTAAATTTTTAAATATTTCAATTATACTGTACTGTACATCAGACAATAACCAAATACGTTTATCGTTGCCGAGAAAGTTTATTTAAAACAAACGTTTTCGACCTATTCCATAGGCCATTGTCAGGTTGAAAACGGACAATTGGAAGATTTGTTCCATGAGATCGAATACAAATACTTAAATTTCAAAAAAACTGACAACGGATTAAAAAACATAATATATGAGTAATGTATAAAAATATGAGGCGTGTCCGGAAAGTAAGTACCATTTCGTTCTACCGCAATTACAGTGGTAGTATCGCAGTTCAGCATCTGCGCACATGTCTCTCTGGTTGATTGTCAGTCCAATGATGCCATTACAGCCGGATTGTGTTGTTTTTCCACGTGTTAGTGAGCGTTCAAAATGTTTAAGACTATCGCCGATCCCGCCGACTGTGAAGTGCATTCTGTAGTACGGTTTTTGAACGCAAAGAATGTTAAGCCAGTTGAAATTCATCGTCAACTTGTAGAGATTTATGGTGAAAATGTAATGAGTGATGGAATAGTTAGAAAGTGGGTTCGACAATTCAATGCTGAACACACTGATGTTCATGACGAAGCATGGAGTGGCTGGCCTTCTGTTGTCAATGATGGTTTGGTTGCAAAAGTGAATGAAAAAATTCCTGAAAACAAATGGTTCACAATAAGATTGCTTTGTGATGAGTTTCCACAAATTTCAAATACTGTTTTGCATGAGATTGTTGAAACAACCGATGTTCAGCAGTGGCTGTCTTTGCTGGCGGCATCTTTCTTTGAAGAGGGTATAGACAAGTTGGTTTCCCAATATGACAAATGTCTGGACAATGGTGGTAACTATGTAGAAAAATAGTTTCAGACATGCTCTTTCATGTAAAAATAAATTTTGTTTTGAAAAAATATTTTTTATGCGAGTTTTTCCAAAA